GAACGACAAGAACGACGTGGCATAAATCTAAAAGAACTTGTTTTAACTCAGAGACAAAAGAAGAGGAAACAATTAAAATCCATTGAGATTTAGATCTGAAATCTGTTGTTTTATTCGAATTCAAGTCATAATTATTTACACTTCTTATGAATTCCAAAGATTTTGAATGGTTCACTCCAGCTAAGTACACAAAATGAATATCAGGAAAATCTGATGCGTGAATTTTCATCAAAGTTTGTTCCAATCTCGATGCTGATATCTCACTAAGGTTTATCAAATTCCTTTGAGCCTCTGTATCATCCAAATACTTTAAAATCTCATCTATAAATTTGTTATGAATTTTATCATCGTAAAATAAATTCAATTTTCTCCATTTCAACATATCAATCATTGTTATCAACGTTTTTACAGCGTTTTTTCTAGAAGTTGTTCCAAGAATCATCGTCAGAGTTAACAGCAAGACTCCTCTCTTGACCACCTTCATAATGATAATGATGGTAGTTCCATACGCAGTAGTATAATTTGAAAGGCATTTGAAAGGGGTATCTCAAGTGGCACAGAAGCCTACTGTTGATTTACCAGCAATTTAATTTCTAATTAAACACAAAGTACAAACTAATAAAACAATACACCTATTTAGATATAATAATATAGGATAATGGTTGGAATCAATGAATAGCATCAGATAAGAACATTAATTGGTAATTAAACAAATGGAATAGAATAGAATTTAACGTTCTTAAAGTGGATATGAACGAGTACAGTCTGTAGTACATGGGCCCTCGGTCTGTATGGCTAAACGATTTTTCCCTGACAACCCAACATGGTTTTACGTACTAACCTGATCATAATGATACGTTTAGTTTAACAGTGGTTATAGCTACGTCTTGGGAGGTCATAACGATATGACGATAACTGACAAGAGGGAACCGGGTTGAGACGGAATCGAACCTCCAAATATTGTTAGAACAGGTAGTAGACTGTGGAAGATATATTTTCGAATTACATCTTATTCTTGACAATGTTTTATGAGGTTATCTAAACTATCAGTTTAAAACTTTTCCATAAGTATGACAAGGTCTCAGTTTATTTTCTTAATAATCTGGTCATGGTTTTAGTGTACATTAGGAGAAAGGGGATAGGTCCACGTCTGTAAGATAACAAGCTGTGAACTTGCAATCTACTTCAATGAAGTGAAAATTCAAACCAAACTTTCGTTCCGTTTTCTTATTAGCTTTCATATTTAATATAGCACTTCAGTTAGCACTTCAGCCCTCTTGAAAGTTTATCATATTAACCTTTTCACATAACTCGATGAAATCTGCTTTAACTAATCAACTTTCTACCCTCTCCAGCGCTGGTATTTCGTGACACAATGTTTAACAGGTTAGGTCAAAAGGTCAATTTGGCGAAGGTTTAAGGTTATTTCAAGCTTACACAAGCGTTATTGTGATCTTCTGTAATTTTTTTTAGACGCAAGTAATGTCTTTGAATACAACTGTTCTATGTTTTACCAATTTATTTGTAAAAGGGTGAAAACGATCAGAGAAAGTGAGATGAAAACTACAATTAAATAACTAAAACATATACAAAAGTATCTAAATATACAAAGATTACCTATTTTTCTGTGTTTTACATACATATAATATGACTAGGTATGCCGGCACACATATAATATATATCCGATAAATCAGAATAGATGAAAGGGAGATAATAACCCATTTATTCAGATGAAGTTTTGTGTGATGGAACCGAATCAATATTTCGTTGTATCGAAAAAATTACAGCGTCCACGTTCAAATGCCCACACTTCAGTTGAATGGCATTTAGCAATTGTGAATATGATATATATATAGACACAGCTTTATGAAACAACAATCACTGGTTAAAGATTTATACAACGTTTCGACGTGTTTCCCCCGTCGTCCTCAGGCACATAATGATAAGAAGTGAATTCATTAAACTTAGTAATTTTGAAATATGCTTAGAAGCGTGTTTCAAGAACTATTTAATTAATATATCTTGTTATATAGAGATTATATTCTTTAGTCATGACACCTGGTAAGTCCATCTGATGAATATACTATACACCTGTTGACCAAGTTTGAGACTGTAAATTGTATGTCCATTCTTACATTTAGTATTGCTTAACTAATTATGCCGTAATCCTAATTCAAATCAAAAACGTTTGTTCAAAATGATGAAAATAATCAAATGTAAGAAATTAAATCATTAACATTGGCGCCGCCATTTGCCTTGGTGTGTTATGATTTTTAATGACTTTACAAAAAAATGACAAAAACAGAACAGAAACAGTGCTTTCACATTTTGTGCTAACTTGACATTGGGCTCAAAATATTGCCAATTTTATAGGTGCTCTGTGCTAAGGATATCCATTGGTAAAAATGTATAAAAATGAAAATTTGAGACCATTTAAAAAGTATCCTGATCATAATTTAGTCACACCCCTATCGGTAGTTGGTAAAACGGGAACTCTTACAGCATTCGATTCACCATCACCGCCACCGTCAGTAGGGTGATTACTGGGCTGAAATAACAAAATGAGCTATAAATGCATGTGTTGCTGTATTAAAAAAAAGACCATAGTTGTTCAACTACTATACTCCAAATCATAATATTTGACCGAGGGGAAAAGGTGTTGAATGTTGTTCCCTATGCAACAAGGTTGTACCAACCACTGATAGCTGACACATTTCAAAGAGCTAGCAAGAATTCTACCATGAGCAGAACGCAACTTCTACTTCCCCAATCCCATTATGTCAATAAATATTGTTTATACAAAAAAAGTTATTTTGGCAAGCAATACCCGACCAATTAAAAAGCGGAACGAATGATGGTTTGGTCGCATTATAAGAAAGGGTACTTTTTAAGAAGATTCAGTTTCTCCTATGTATCAGATCGAGCCACCTGCAAGTTTGTTTCAACAGAAAACAACAACAAAAGCTTATTGCTTTTACTTACACCTTCTGCTTTCTTAAAGATAATGATCTCAATTCCTGTAATAATGCTACCAGCTACAACACCAATCAGCAGAACTATCAAGGCACCAGAAAAGGAACCCAGGTCGACCTTGTAGAACTTTGGAACCTCGATTTCACCAGCCTTTCCCTTGGAATCTAGGAAGTAATTTTCACAAAAACCACCAAACCATTTATCTTCTAATATCTGCAATTCTCCACTCTCTCGTAATTCTAGGATAGCCACATCAATAGCTTTGGCATGTTTGTAACCGATGCGATAAGTAAATGCATAATTTCCCAACATTACTAGGTCTCCAGTGTAATAGAGATCGCATGTTGTCTTGGTGTAATATTTGGCCATTGCCGATTCCATGATAAAGGCGAATCGTCCTCCAGATGACAATACTCTATCTATACCTTCTTTAATAGTGTTAATTTCAGTACCAGCTTTATTTGATTCGACATAGTTAGAAATTCGTTGCATGTAAGCTATAGGTACGGTTTCAAAATAGTTTTTCGTAGCACCAGCACTCAGCATCCCGTATTTGACATCAGACTGAACACTGAGTTCTTCCAGGTTGTGTATCGGTCCAGTTACTTCAGATTTGATTGGATTGATTCGTAAAAGATTTGTCAGACTAGCTATATAAGTTGAAACAAAGATGATGACGAAGGCCCACCAGAAAAGAACAACAGTTCTTCCACCAACTGATCTTGGTGTTCTTGCACCAAAACCTACAATTAGAAATAAAATTTAGTTTCTACTTTTCTTAACCTACTTGGGACAATGAAGGCAGACAACGCCATGCAGTTTGTAATAATAAAATCTTGCCAAGACAGTGGATTTTTCAACTAAATGTGATGGTCTTTAATGCACATGGCCTGTAGTAAACTGGACCTAGATTTACTTTTGTGTCATCCGAACGACAAAACACTTAATGGAAGGGGAGTAACTGGTTGAAGAATGGGAAATTGTGGAACAAAATTGACATTTAAAGAATGATGATGGTTCTTGGCGCTTAGAGATAAATTTGCAACAAGACTTGGATCTTCATATACTGAACTGCATATAAAAGCACAAAAGTCAACTTACAACAGATTCCTAGTATCGACATCGTATTGCATCAAGCATTTGACAAATCGCGGGAGTTTCCATCAAGCTACAGAATGTTAGCGAAACGGTGATTTTTTTGATAATAAGATACTTACCCTGCAAGGCCCAGGAACTGACGATAAACCAGAAGGAGTTGATGCAATTGAATGTTTCTCCCTCTCTTGCAGTAGCTTCACCATCTCTAGACATCCTTCGCCATTCATAAGGATTGACATAGCCAACGATAAAGAGAACAGTGCTAGTAATAAAATAAGCTACTAGGGACATTAGCCACACACTATCAGCCAAGGGAAGGTAGAGATGAGAAATCCTCTCGTGAAACGATGGTTGAATATACGTTTCCTCTTGTTTTTTCATGACCATTACATAACCAAAGTTTTGTATTGAAGTAGAGAAGGCTAGTTTTTCTCTTCTTCTGGAACTGACTGTTATTGGAGCTGCGGCTATATCTGCTTCCTAAAATATGATTAAAATTGCAGCGAATGGACTTAGGGGAAGGAAACAATCACCTCTATAAGTCTCTCTTTTTAACACCAGAGAGCTCAACGCGGGGTGAAAATCAAGTTTGAAATTGTGAAGATGGTGTCGAATCAAAGTTTCGGTGGTTTAAAAAAAGTTAATTCATCTGATTACGCTTTCATTTGCATAGCTGAGGAACTATACAGTGCATAGTGGAAAGGATCTAGAAATTGTAACGGCACCGAAACTATCCTTTGTATAGTTAGTTAACTCATGTTGCAGTACAATCACGAAAAAAATGTGCTCATTTATTCTATAGTCAGATCTACGTCTCTCTTCTTCTAATTTTGAGAGACTTAAAGGGACAGATGCGCGATTGTTTTGACCAATAATACTTTAGTCTCAGAAACGGGAATTTTTTTAACTAAGCCGATCAGTAATAGTGTTCACAGCTCATCGTCGAAATTTGAACCTTCAAATCTATGTGTGTCCAGAATTATCCGCGTTTGAACGACTCGTCATTTTAAGATACTGTGTTATATATAGAAAAGACATATATAGAAATAGTGAGTAAAATTTCTAGTTTGAAGTATTTTTAAAGGAATTATGCAATTTTCTAACATTTCTAGTGATTCTGAAGAATATTTTCCTATCTTCAAGACTAAAATCAACTCACCAAAAGGGCACATCAGTCCCTTCATCAACTCATGTGAAAAGTAGACACATAATGTACTTAAATGATCAAATTATTTACCTTGTTTATAACCTCGCCAATCATACCATTAAAACTACCATCCGACTGTATAGCACCAAAGTTTCCATCCTTGACTTCTTCAATTTTAAAATCTAGATTAAGTTTGATTGCAATTTTATCTAAGATATCTTTTACGAACCCAAAATAGCCCGGTTGTTTCGTATTCGATATCATCAGATATGGTTGGACCTGAAAAAATTGTTAAAACATTGTCAAAATAGTTGTACAGGCGTTGCTTCAGACGATACGATACATCTTGTCCGTCTCAAACGATCTATCTATATGCTTTACCCAAAAAACCGCTAAATTTTTATGTCAGCCAACATTTTTCAGGCTTGAAATCAACGTTCCCTGTAATTCCAATAATACAATGGTAGAGAAAGTTTATACTAGTATAGCGACTATATGACTATCAAATTTCTATTAATGATTCTTCATATGTTGACAGATCTTCAAAGCTCTTATATTACAGTTCGTTTTGATAAAAAAAAAATGTGCAGAATCTGCACGCTAAACATACTCACCAGTATTGAAGTAACTCTAACTGTTTCAGCCTGAAAAAAATCAAATTGTAGAGCCATAAAGAGAAAATAGTATTATAACGCCCGCCATACAGAGCGGGGAAATAGTGCAACTGTGGACCACTGTCATATGTATTTAGGCGGTAAATTTTGAGCTCTACAATAATAAGCTATATAAATAGCGGGTATAGCGAATCGGGAATTGTTTCAAAACACTTGAAGTATTCTGCGATTGTATTTGTCAACTCGATACATCACAAAGCCACTATAGTTTATTTGGTATATATATTTATTGTTGTAGAAGGTAAATTACTGTATATCCAAATAGAAAATAGAACAACAAGAGAGTTTAGTCTGAAAACAATTATCAAAATAGTGTCAATTTCAATGTTTTATGATGTAAAAACTTTATTAGTATATAAAATAAGACAGTGAGAAATATCATGAATATTTTAAGTCAAATTCCCTAGAGAACTAAGAACAATATTCCATTTTTCATAAAATTCACTCTTGTCATCCGTCTTTTTATAGTTTATTGTTTTTATGGAACTAATAATTAGATATAATTCCTGGTTTTGAGGATCGTGCAAGCTGGAAGTCATCTATCACCTATCTCCCAACAGCTATTTAAATCGATTTTCCATTTCTTTAGGGATAAAGGCAGCTATTAGTAGTCATTATTTATTTAACATCTTAAACATGTATGACTGCTCCAGAATTTATTTGACTGTTATGCTAGATGATGTATGAAAGTATTAGGGAAACTGACGTTTAATAACACTTTTTAAATATTTAAGAGAAAACCAAGATTCAATTCTATTGTTATCTGCAAAGTCTTATTCAAATAAGACTAAACTTTCGTTTCGTTTTTTAGCAACTGAAGTTGCTATATCAAAAATAACAGCTCATAAAAAAAAACGGAACGAAAGTTTAGTCTAATTTTAATCAGACTGAAATCTGCAGATGAAACTAAGAAATTCATCTGTTTGTTTTTGGTTGTTTACACCAATAAATCCTTAGATACAGTTGTGTTACTTTGAGCCATTATAATTTCCACTTGTCTTCAGTTACCTGTTCAGCATAGTGTCCAAACCACGCCCCATTCGTCAAACTTCCTCGAAACTATGTCAAAACCCGTATTCGTGATACGATACCTGTTCATCTGTGTTGAGTTGGCACAACAGTTGCGTTGTCCATAGTAGAAGCCGTAAAACGTAGACGTAAAACGCAACTTCAATAAGTACTTAACCGAAAAACTATTGATATATATACAATTATGTAACCTAAAAGGAGCGCCTAAAGAAATTGCAATACTTTGAGCACTTTTGACCAATCTTGGGTTTTTCTAAAACATTAGAGGTGTATATATACGTCGAAGTGTACGCAACTGGTCGATTTGACTGAAATATACAGATTTGCAAATATACATGCGCATGGCCTTGAGATGGGATTTTAGAGAAGCCCCAATGAAACCAGAATTATTGTTATACACAAAGTCAAAGACTGTTTTAAGTCAGTTATAGCATAATCTGATCAGTTTTCAGGAATGATGTAGAAGCTTTAAGTACCCGCAATAAAAAACAATAAAGGGACAGTTGTGCCATTTTTTGACAATCATATCTTAGTCTCAGAAACGGAATTTTTCAGAACACCCAATAAGTAATAGTGTTCACAGTTTCAATGAGCCTTCAAATCATGTGTTTCCAAATGTATCCGCGTTTGAAAGTTACACAGATGAGTCGTCATCTCTTGAGACACTGCCATATAAAGAAAAGATATGTATAGAAATAGGAAAAGTGATTCCTAGACATTTTTGAAAGATTTTTTTCGTTCATATAGTACTTCAGAAGACCAATTACATAATATTCAAGACTCAAATCGATCCCCAAAATGGCGCATCTGTCGGATCTGTCCCTTTAAGACGAGAAAACAATTTTTAGATACCCCTATAAATATATCAATATACACCCGAAATTCATATATAGTAGATATATTAAGGCAAAACAGTTACAAACTAACTTTAATAGTATCGGTACATAGACAGTTCCACTTGTCAGACATTTTGAAACATTGCAGATGCAATAAGAAATCTAACTTTAACCCTAATCTTTATCGATATCCCGACTATCTGTTGTAGGTCCTGCAATCTGATCACTAAATACATGACATCCCCTCTCGTTCTACGCTACCATGAACTTTGGTTTGTAACAGTTCCAGAAGAATGGTTATTATGTTATGTAATATAATAATAAAATCGTAATGTAGTGGAATGATAATGGTATTCTAATTATAGAACCATCAGTCAAAATGCCGATACGTTGAGATATATATCATCAAGAATACAAAGAAATTAAAGAAATACTATTAGAAATTTATTTTGCAATATGGGCATTGAAATATAACACGTTGTTTAAAATCAGACCGCAATAAACTTTCTCAATAAGGTATGATCTAGAGGAAAATTTCGTTTACCAGAACTAAAACTTCGCAACTACAAATACACTGATTTGAAAATTTCATGAAAGATGGTTTTTGAAACAACATCCAAAAATTGACGTCATTGACATCTTGCAAAACATCTTGACAGAGATCGTAATTATTCAAAGGCATTATTTGGCTCCATGTAAACTACAATACTACTATGATCGAATAAACACGCATACGTAACCTCATTGTTGTTAATGACCCAGCACCTAAATACTTCACAAACAAGTTAGCATAGCACAGAGCATATCATAAATATTATGTTAGATTCCCCCAAGATATGTGCTGCACCGTTACCATCCATTAACCTAATGTACATCTTAGATTATTATCGTCTGGCATATTTACGATGAAATTAACCCCAATAAACTGTTAATAATTGACCTATTAACGGCGAATAGACAGTTAATTCCACCTTCGACCAATCACCCAAAGTCTCAGTTTCAAATAAAATTCAACATCAATACGTACCTGAACTAACGGTGTGAACCAGCTAGTTTCCAAAACAGCCAAAACTGTTACAACTTTAAAAAATGAGTTCATTTTGAATCTTTAGAGAATTATCTTATCATTTCAATAAGAGGTTGATGTACCGGTAAAACTATTCTACACACTCGCACCAAGATTTAAGACAGGTATGCGCGTGCTGGCGTGTTGTAGGGAACGTGTGTTTGAGAGAGAAGAAAGATCGTGTTACTATACTATTCTACTAATACTATTATACCAGTTACCAATGGAACAAGTCAGAATATTAAATATGGTAAGTGTTAAAGGGATATTCTCTTCCAAAAAACTTTTCCACTTTTAAATTGGGTGGTTTCGGGAATACTTTCAAGTTTAACGTTCTACCGTGAAAGTTCCGCATCCGCTCTGCAACAGATCCATCTTTACGGAAACTGCCAAACATTGTCATCTGTTATAAGTTCTATTTAAACCATTCTTGTTTACTTTCAGATATCCGTGGTTCCTGATGTTCCAGAAACCCTGCCAAGACATTACTTTAGATGATGAATATTCATGACGACATGTGATGGTCAAACCGAACTATCAAAACGCTTGTGTGTAGCCATTTTAGGAATTCTTCCGCATCCTTTCTCGTATGAAATAGCTTGTTTCGATTGCATCTCCTTATACGAAGCTCTTTAGATGATATTTATTCATTGATCGTGGAATTATTATCTCGACCAATGCTGAAATGAAAACAGGCAATGTGTGTCACTGACAATTAGAATCCAATTCGTTGAAACACTCCATAACCTGCAACAATTAAACCAATCAAACACGATGCTGATAACCATTTGCAATAGTTTACATGAATAATAGATGATGATCAGCAGAACAAAGAATTATAAGACTGAATCCCTTTAATGATTAATTATATGGCCTTCGTTTCTATAAACTGAATTAGATTTTCCTCGGGAGAACTAGCCTGTCATCGGCAGATTACAAATAAATTTATAAACGACATTATTTTCCAACTGTTAATGGAAAGACGAATCATAATGTACATAGTAATCTGTAGGGATTGTTTTATATAATGATGTATGGCATTTAGAAAAAACATGAATATGACATTTAGTAATATTTCACAATTGTATTATTTACCAAATTATTACAAGAGTAAGTACAACACTATTCAATTGCCGAGTAATGGAAGGAGCAGCAAGATACAATATTTTTTGGTCATCATTAAAATGGCATAGTTCAAAAGCTGATATAGCAACAGACTACCACTCTCAAGTATTATTGCTCAGCTTGTCATTTAGGAAAAAACGCCTGCTGGTAAACTTGAAGGTCCAAGACCGGGGTGCAAAACATGATAAAATGGGGCAAAGAGTAGTGGATTTAAAATACATACTTGAATAAAAAAAAAAAAAAACACACACACACACATTGGGCGTCGTATCAAAAGTGAGGCATTTGTTTCCATTGTTTCTGGTACATTAATTACCAGAGAGTAAAATTAAACAAGTGCACAGTAAAAACTAAGTTGTCACTCAAAATGGTGTAATCTTAACCGCGTTTAGTGTTGAAACGTTGGTGCAAATTTACACTATAATCTGGGTATCCTTACACCAATAAGGGCGTGTTAGTAGGTAACGCGAAGAGGTGTAAACTCTGAATACAGAGTTAGGT